AATTTTCTATCGTGTTGGCAAAGATCCTATCGAGCCAAGGGAGGACGAAAAGATGGGGAACTTCTAGTATAGCAAGCGAGATGAAACAGGATAAGCAGGGCGATATCGATGGGAATCTCTTTTACGTGGACCATGCTTGGCTCTCCTCGAATAATACGACGGCTGATTTTTATTATTGGGACAGGATCGGTTGCTCCTCGCGTGTTTGAACTTGTTTGCCGCTGCATATTGCCGCACGTCCTGTCTTGAAATACGAGATCTCTTGGTATTTGACTCGTGTTCGAGCCACGTTATAGTTTTGCCTTAATTGCGAATCCCACTTTTTCTTTCCGTCCTTTTAATTTAGAGTTTTTGTATTTATTTAACATTACGAATTAGTTATGGTATTCTTTTTATTAATAGTATTGAAACAATAGTATTGACGCATGGTTGCAACAGTTTAGAGAGTCTTAAAAGACTCGGAATTAAGACTTGGAATCTAAATAGTATTCATAAAAATATGGATTTGCACAAAAATTCACGATCTAATTGTAATTATTTTAAAAATTGAATAAGAGAACAGCAGAGTGTAGTAAAACAAAGAGAAAACAGAGAGTAAAATGGTATCCCTTGTTCCCTGCGATGTAGAGAGGGTATTCCGTGTCGAGGCATTTTCTAACGGAATTGGAATGTTGACTTCCGGTTGGCGGAGCGCATCCTCCCTCGTTATCAACCGGTGGGAGGAGGTCACGGTGCCCATTTCCTACAAGCGATTTTCCGCGAATTGCCTCCATTATGTCCAATTATCGGCTCGGATGAAGGAAGACGTATTCTCGACGAGAGGCTGGTTGGAAACAGGAAAGGGGGTGAAAGTAGGATTTTTATCGTCCCTTAGGGTTAACCCTTTATAACTCGCATTTTTATTCTCTCTTACATAAGGAGGAGAAAAAAATTATTATCTATTATAATCGTATAATTATATCTAAAAATGTGCTGGTATCGCGTATAAAGATGAACTGTGTATAAGAAGGAACGTAGAATGAAAGGGTTCATAAAAATAATTGCAGCGAAATTGTGAAAATAAATTAGTATCGTGTACAAAAGTAGGCAAACTTTCGCGTTATCCTTCCAATCTAGTAATATTAAAAAAGTACTAATGCTATAACATATGAACGTATAGCAATTGTCTCAAAATTTCATGGAAGAAAGAAGAAAAACTGGAAGAAAGGCACCGGTCAAATCGAAGTTTTGGACAGCTAAGTGGAACGAGAGGAAGACACCGAGAACACGTTGTCCAGGCACACGAGTAGGTCCTCGAGGTCGTCGTTGAGAACGATTGAACGGTCCTCGAAGCGAATCTTGTTTGCAGCGTTTCTCGGTGGCCTAAGCTACCTTTGCAAAAACGAGGAAAACGCCGGCCAATTAAGCCTCTTCTTCTCTGCGATCGACAGGCACTCGCGTACCGCATCGTTTCGTCCTCGACATCTCGAGTATCTCATTTGATAGCCTCTTCTTCGGAATTGCTCGCGCTCAACTTTCCAGCTCACATCTTTTTTCTCAACCATGCTTCTTTTCACTGCGATTGTTTTCTATATTATTCGGCCCTTTATCCAATTTCGTCCCTATATTTCTATTTTCGTTTTCGATTTTGCGTTAACGCTGATTTTTTATGATTGTAATGTTAGGCGAATTTAAAGTAATTTTTGTTTCCCTTTTCTTTTTGAATTTATAGCAGCGAACGAAAGAAAATGTAACAAGTAGAAAGAATGTTGCAACGTTGCAAAACGAAATTATGTTTACGGAAGCAAGGAATAATATAAAAATTGAAATTAATCGATATTATGCGATTTATAGATAGTAGTATAGATACCAAAGAAGCTCTAATTGATACTATAGAATCATGTTACAATCGCATCTTTCAATTTCAAATTTATCAATTAAATGTATGATTCTAAAGACAATTAAATCTTACGTTATTGTCACTTCTTTTTTTATTCGCGTCACTGTAATAAAATTTATATAACGCACCCTCGTTTATTGTCTGTTTCTCATTCGAAAAGCTTTAGGTACATAATATAAGTATCCACTCGACGAGTTTTCCACGCTTCTTTCCGAGTTTCGAATCTCCTCGAGTGGCTTCTGACGGATTCGGCCAACCTTTGAAATTAAACCCTCGACTTCTTTCCCGCGGCGATTCTTCCACTCCTTAAGCCCCTGTCCACGGCACCGGAAAGAGTATTCAGTGGTTACACGTCGAAAAGTGACCCTTCTTTTTTTTCCTCTTTATTCCTTCCTGGCTATTTCGATTTCTATGTTGCATTGTTGAACGTTTTTAGTGCTTTGACATTGAGAAGGGTGATGTAACTGGGGTGGAATTTAGAGATGCGGAAGAATCTCGGCGATTTTAATATTTTCAATACTTTTTTTAGATACGTATTCTGAAATAAGTTGGAGTTTTTTCTTAAAAGTTTCTTCTTCAAAGAAATTCTTAAAAATTTTTGACATGGAAATCTTTAGATGGACATTTTTGAGAACTCATGGAATCAGCATTTTTGAGAAGTTTTCCTCCTTGTTTAATTAGGAAGCGATGCTTTGGAAGAATGAGTAGAACCTTTGTCGACAATTTTATGCAAAGTTTTTATCGAATCACACAATAGAGCGTATTGTACTGACTATATTTTATTCCTTGGTCCATTTTCACGTTTTATTTATTCTTTATGAGAATAACTCTCAGAAAAGTTGGCTGGAATTTTTGTCGGCAAATTTTTACAAAATCGTCATTCTATCGGCGACAAGATAAATGATAGAGAAACGATATTCGATCTGCCACATGTATTTTTCCGGGAAGCACGAGGATGACAGGCAAATCGACGTCTACAATAGCGGTACACCTACAAATTTTGATCATGTATCGTTCAAAAATATATTCCTCGTGATTTATTAACTGTCACTTGGAGGAGACCAATTTTTTAATAAATACCTAGATACGTAATTTCTCTTGACCTACCTGATTTCCTTTCGCAAAATAACGATTTATCAAAGAAAAAATATTTTTCTAACTTACTACTACTACTAATCGTAGTATTTCATCAGCTCTCAAAGCGTCAAATTGAAAATGAGATAAATCCAATGAAACACGGAAAGTACAAGCCTCAAAGGAACAATATCTGGCATTAATATTCGAGGTATTTTAAAGACAAGTATCGAATGTAAATAAGGTGGATAATAACAGTGATAGTATACGAATTATCGTGGTTCTAAGGAATAATGTCGGCACGGATTAAATCTTGCCTTACCTTCGAGAGATTTTGACGACGATATTGTACGATTTGAATGCGAAGTAATCGGTTCTCTCGGTGCTTGTATAATGACGTATTATATTCGTGTATTATTCGATAGTGGAGCGCGCGCGTGCAATCCATAACGAGGGCATCGTTTCGTATAATTCCAATGCACTAGATACACACAAGATTCCGAATCGTTACTCTTCAATTACCGCATAATGCGTTCCCTTACTTCTTTCTCTATTTATATCTCGAGTTATAATAAGTATAATAATAATATAAAGTGTATTCTTTATTTATAGCTCTACGGATTATCTTTGTTTAATGACGTTTCACGTTCGAGTAGTAGAAATGAAAAGTGTGTCTTCATTCAATGTAGGCACATATGTATATATGTAGATAAATTTTTGAACGGATTGGATGACTGTTAGCTTCCACAAAAGACCGACGTCGGAGATAGAAATACGCTGTGAAACAACCCAATCAAAAGTTTATCCGAAACAGTTACAAAAGTTTATCTGAAACAGAGATAAGATTCGGTCAGGGTATCTTTCTACGGGCTGTATTCTGACTCCAATTGTTTATTATGCTATGACCCTAGCGGTTTTATCGCTAAAAACGATAGATAAGCACTGGTGGCTGTATGCCGACGCGTCCGCAAAGGGTTAGTAGTCCCATCATTCTGCTGAGTATTGTCAAAAGCTTTTCTCATTCCAACCATCCTTTCACCAAAAAGTACGCTATAATTCCGACAGCTCTTTCGTCGATAGTACAAAGAACAGAAGTTATTCTTGCATATTCGATACCGTTTCAACTTCGTACGCTTCTCGCAGTTTCGGAGCTTATGAATTTCATAAACTCACTTAAACAATAAAAACAGCGAGATCTCATCCGTTTCACGAGTAACTACTTGCGAAACAAGAAAAAAAGATTCCTACACGTCGAGCAGACAGCCGCGAAACCTTAACCAACATTTCACCCCCGTCCCCTGAAGAAGAAAAATATCTGGGAAGGGTTTACAGAGGCTGCAGAAGTATCTGTCTTCCGTAACTCGGTAAGAAGCGCATTTTCCGATCGGTTAAACCCGACGGAAAGCTCCGGGCCTCGAATAAAGGGAACCAAGGCTGGAAGGGAACAGGAAAAGACGCGCGGCAGAAGCGGAAGAACAGGCAAAGAGGGACGAAAAGGGACGCAGTGACTGCCGAGAGTCTCGACTAGATTGAGCCGTGATTGAAAATTCCGCCGGCGGCGGGATTTCGATTTAAATTTATACGAAAGCGGGCGAAAAGTTTCGTTACTTGTACACCGGGGCCTCGTTCCTAGGCCGGAAGTGGTGTAGGTCTGCACGCATGCCACCCCCGTTTTAACGAGGGTTGATGGAATTTTAAAAGCCGGCACCCTTGAGGAACGAATGCAATTTTATTCGATACAGTGTTTGGAGATATTTTGCGTGCATGATTTTTTATTTATATCGTTTGTAAGTCGACCCCGGATTTTTATGCGTTTTTATATTTTTACGCACGTGACTATAGAGAGATGAGATTCGAGAGAAGGATTTGTTTCGTCCACGTACCAAATATTCTAATAGCTCACTATAATTGAAAAAACGAAAAGTTTATTTTGAAATACAGGGTTCGATGATTCGAGACTGTCGTGGGTTATTTGCAATTTTATTATACACACATACTGTATAGTATATAACTTCTGACTAACTATGAGAATTTTGTGTATGCGCAGGTTAAACTCGACAAGAGCCACAACGGCAAACTTTCGAGGGTTATCCACATCAGAAACATCCCCAACGAAGTATCAGAGGGTGAAATCATCCATCTTGGCGTCCCCTTCGGCCGTGTTACAAACGTTCTCGTCCTCAAAGGCAAAAATCAGGTAAGTGACAACCTACTAAAATCTCATTTTACGTAGTCCTATAAGAATCCAAGTAAATTTTAGAAATTGAATAAAAATAGACGCAGCTTTTTAATACCAATGTTCTTTCGCCGAGGTTACCGCGCATTCAGAATTCACATTCCTTTCCAACATTATTGTTAATTAATTTCCGGACTTTTGGAATTTAACTTAGATAGTTTGAATTTTATAACTTTCATTGTATTTTTTCAATGCTGATTCTTCGCATTCTTGTGTAAATTATTGTAAATTTTCATTTCTGGGATTCTTATTTCCTGAATTCTCATTGCTAGAATTCTCAGTTGTAGATTTTCCGATTCTAGAATTTTTCAAATTTACGAGATCGCGGAAAATGAATCGCGACTGAATGAATAATTATTAAACGAGAAGATTATTCGATTGAAAGAATTGTCAATTAATGGTAGTGATTACGAGCTAAATAGAGAAGATAGGTAATTATTTGAATTTAATTATTCATTTCTCGGTGAAAACCACTTGTACAGACTGTGCGGCTTGAAATGTCGGTCAAATGCGCAAAATGCCGGGTGAATGAACTATTTAATAATAATTGTGAATTAAGTAGGGCTTGTTAACATGGTAATGAGGCGAGATATTAATGAAATTCCCAAACTTACCAAGTGGATGGTCATTATTCAATTTGTTTAAATCAAAAGTTAGATGATGCTTCGGTCGAATTATCAGAATTCCTGGTAAATCGCTCCGAATGTAGTTTAAAATTAATGGAACTGTAGTTGAAAAAACGGAGCGGCAAACGATGTGACTGCTACAAATTTTGAAGTTCTTATTTTTATAAATATTACGATGGATCTAAGATCGAAGTCATTCTAATAGAGATAGTTGAAATGATCGGAAAATGAACAGAATACGAAACTGGAACTTAGGTTCGATTTAGTCGCGGCCTTGGCCAAATCCATGTAAAAACGCATTTGATCCGTACGAGGAAGTGCAGTTTGTGCCGCGCCAGCGAGTCACTTGGTGAGCAGGACGCGGATGGCCAAACAGAGTAATAACAGAAACAATCGAATCATCGATTCGGCCCGATGGCCGTCCGTTTGACCATCATTATCTATTATTATCCGTTTGCGTGACGATTTCACAAAGCTAGTATTCTCTGTGGAAATTGTCGACCGATTGGGAGATTGGTAAAAAGTTTGCGAATTGTCATGGAAAAGATATTGAGAAATCTTGATGAATCTCAATTAATTCAAATGCTCTTGATTGTTTCACTGTTCCTTAGGAGTGTAATTACTAAAACGCAGTTTAAATAGTTAAATGCAATGTAATATAGTTTATGAAATATAGAATAAATTTAAACGAAACGTATGCACCATTCGAAAGTATTTCACTTTCTATAATAACATTTTTCTTCTCCCTTTGCTATGTTGAATCTATGTCTTGACTCAGTAGCGTGAGATCATCTGTATATTTATTTAATATTTATCATTTGTTTAATTATCTCTACAATAGCAATGTTGCATTTCCAGAAATGGAATTGGTTTCGCTATTATTAATGTTAATTATTTAGTAGAAAAAGGGAAGATGGTACTTGCCACGTTTTCCAAACTTTTTCCCAGCGAATTAGGATAATTAAAATTAACGTAAACCTGCTTCAAAATTTCGCATTTCAACGCCGACAGCTCATACAGTTACTCTCCTTTTCACGGAATACCAACTTCGTAACCTAGTTTGTCAGAGAGAAAAAGGAAATTTTGTGCAAGCTGCCATTCAGAAAAATTTTCCTTCCACTTAAAACGCTTCTCCGCAACTACAGATTTAACAAAAGAACCGCAAGTAAAAACAGTCTTCCATCTAACTACAGACATCGCTCATACATATGTACAGACACGAGAAACCTAAATTTCCACGAATCTGGTTCAAAATATTAACGAATCCTGCGTGATAGTACCAAAATTTATTTAGATTTTATTTCTTCGGTTAAATGAAAGATATAAGATCGTACGAGTATCCGTTCGTCGTTTTCGCTATCTGCTCGTATGCTTTACTCAACGAATAACTCGGTATTCCTGAAAATTCTACAAATATATTTTCTACTTTGTAATCGCATAATTTCGCCAGTAGCGTACAAACATATTCTACTCTTTAGTCATTCGAGAAGTCATTCGAAAATCATATTCAACGAGTCAGTAATCGTAGGGAACTGTAAACGGTATGTTTAACGGCGATTAATATTAATTTATCCCGAATTGCGTGTAACGCGCGTAGGAAGCGACAAATAATCCGGCGGAACGTATCGTTCCAAACCGAAATATTCGACCTAGCAGAGGATTGCATTCATTCTGGACACGCGTAATTTTCCGGCGGAAGGTTTGCCTAAATGAAAACGCATCGCTAAATCAACGTGTTTCAATTGCAACGATGTAACGTTACTGAAAGATGGCGAACATCTCGATTTTGTTGTAGAGATCGCATTTTGTAGTTGCTTGGAGTTACTGTGGCGTGGTTTAATCGACGATCTAGTATTCGATAGGATATAACATTTACACAGTAAATAGAATCTTTTAATTTATTTTACCGAATGAAATTAATTTTTGTTTGGGTTTTACAGCGTTATTGAATTTAAATATTTTTTTGAATTATTTTTGGGTTATATCGTGCAGGTTGTTTTATGCAAACTGATTTATTAATACTGTAAAGAAAATCGGAATGCTCTTTGTCTCAGTTACTGAAATAAAAGATAGCGCGTGTTTCCAGAGATTTTTGGATTATCTTTTTTATACAGGAAAGTGGTATAAAATTTAAAAAAACTATTTATTCTATTATATAAGTTTCGATTATACATAGATACTACTGTACATAATATATAAACTATAAGTAAAAACAAAAAAAAAAAAAAAAAAGATTTTTAACCTCAACGCGACGCATCGCCGTGAAACTAAAGACGCTGTTTTTCATCGATACCTTACTCTCATCGCTATAACGAAATTCCACTCTAACCAAAAACCTTCATAGCTCGCCATATCACCGAAAAAGTTATAATATCGCATCACGATACATAAATCAGCTTGTTCCGTGTTATCCATAAATTCTTGGAGACAGTTGACGCGTACTGGTGGACACACTCGATCACAGGAAATCATCGAATCCCGTTACCCGCTCCTTTGAACAAAGAGCACGCATATACGCACATGCGTTTATCGTGGCTTATGCATACCCTCGGCCACGGTATATTTCCCACGTTAATGCGTATGTAATTTGCGCTCCGGCTAAATCTCTTCATCTGGCTCAATGCGGCGGACCGACGCATCGATGCATTATTTTAATCCCCCCCGGTATAAACAAACCGAGAGCACGCATTATCGTACCTGTTGTACTGACCGCTCTACACGCGTTTCGCCTGCGTACAACGTTCACGTTTCCGTTAACATGCATTAAATATCCGTAATCAGGATTCTAGCAAACTTGGATAACCCGAATTTCTCCCCACTTTTATCTTTTCCTGTATTTTGCGACTATTAATATGGTATTTCGTTTATTTATTCGATTTGAGGGCGTCAGCATTCGATAAGATTCATTACAAAGTTGTAAGTTCCGATACTCTCGAATAAAATAGTATAAGCGAGGACAAATTAAAGAGCATTTTTTCTTTTTCTTTTACATTTCTATTTGTATCGGGATTTTGATAAAGATTTCAACAGATAGGCCGATTCTTGGTATCTTTACGACCAACGTCTAACGATTTTTTCAATAATCGTTAGATAATCCTAATAGGTCATTCCTTCTTTCGCGTTTCTCCACTGTCGGTAATCGTATTTCTGCAGAATCCTGCCAGAATCACGCCTAAACCTTCGCGAAACCTCGAAAAACAAATTATCCCCGTTTTCACCAGGCTCTCGATCTCTCCAAGGTACAAGCTTGTCCTCCAAAGCCTCGTCTAAGACAATTCAAGTAACTCGATCAGCCAGGAAACTCTCATCATTATCGTGCACTCGCTGGCTCATGGGGCTAACAGGCTTCCCAATTACACGCAAACTGACTGTAAGCTCGCATTGTTGCAACACGACAATGAGGGTGGTGCTTGGGCTGTGTTGCATCAAAGCGCACCCCTCTTGGATCCGATGCCCCTCTCTACGCTTGTGATAGAGAAGGGGCGAAAACGCTGGCGGTGGTGTGCCGGATAGTAAATCGAGTTTCACGATGAACCGACGAACTGGCCCCCGCGGGCACTTTCCCTGTGTTTGCTTTGATTCGAAGTTTCCGGTTAAGTTGGTTACCGGAACGGCCGGTCGGCCTCTTTGTCTGATTCCGCGGACCCGCCAGGCCTCCTGAATTCTCGATATCGTTCTCGCGTTTGCTATATCTTCAGTCCGCGGTCCTTTCGGTAGAGAAAGACTAATTTGGCTGAGGGGGATTTTCCACGAAATTTTGGATACGCGGAGAAGCGATGCTTCAGTGTGTACGACTGCTGTTTGACTTGACCTTTGATTGGGATGAATTTGCGTAGGATGAATGGCAGGTGCATTTTTGGGTTTAGTTGGTTTTAGGGTTAGCAAGTTGCGAAAGTATCCGTGAACGCTTCTAGAATATGTTACGTTTTTGAATACTCGTGAAGTACGTTATGTGTAAATACTTAGAGATTGCTTTATGTTATCAACGATTTCAAGAATCTATTACATTATAATGTATTTCATGAGCTAACGTATGTTTGGGGTGGTGTGTTAATGCCGGTGAAGATCGTCGAAGTAGATACAATAAACGCATCTTCGTTGATTCTTATGGAAAATCTGACAGGTTCAGGCAAACGCACGATCGTTACGGCAAACGAGGTTTTAGCGTTGTGACAATATCTTTTGAGCTGTGAAGAGGATGGAGGAATATTTACACGCTTAATAAATTTATTTTAGATCGTGGAATTTTTTCGCGCCATCTTTTGGACATTTCTTTTTCTTCTTATCTTCGTTCTCCTTTTATTCGAAGACAGAATCTAACGAAGAGAAGTTCCT